ATCAATGGGAACTTTATCTGTAAGGGTTCTGAAAGCTTCTCAGAATGGGTATAGATCTGTAAAGAGCCAAGAGGTGAAGTAGTTACCATCAGGTTGCAGCTATTTGAGTGCCACCCCTGTGTCCCATGGGCTACGCTAGAGCCATGCTTCTCAAATTTGAAATGTGCAGACACAGCACTTGGAGAGCTTAGAGTGCAGATACTGACTCAGTAGGTCTGGGGTGTGGCCTGAAAGTCAGCGTTCATAAACCACTCCCCTAGAGATGCTGCTGCCTCGGTCTTGGAGACGACACTTGGAGAAGCACAGGTTGACAGCACTGATTACCAATCTTGGCTATACATCGTAATCAGCTGGAATCTAAACATCACTGACACCTAGATCTCAACCCCAGAGGTTCTAATGTAACTTGTCTGGGTAGTAATCTGGGCACTGAAGATTTTAAAAAGCTCCCCAACTGATTAATATTTGAGAACCATTGATGGAGTTAAAAAAAGTCTATTAAGTCTGAGGACCAGAAACATGGCCTCATCTGGAAGTTTGTTAGAAATGCAGATTCTCAGACTTGAACCCCATCCTGCCAAGTACCAATCTGCCTTCCAGGGACATTCACCAGGGGATTTCATGTACTTTACAGGTGAGAACTACTATTCCAAGTAGCCTTTATTTTTATTTTTTTGGCTGTGTTGGGTTTTCATTGCAGCGTGTGGGCTTTCTCTAGTTGCAGCGAGCAGGGGCTACTCTTAGTTGCGGTGCACGGGCTTCTCATTGCGGTGGCTTCTCGTTGTGGAGCACAGGCTCTAGGTGCGTGGGCTTCAGTAGTTGTGGCACATGGGCTCAGTAGTTGTGGCGTGCGAGCTCTAGAGCGCAGGCTTAGTAGTTCTGGCACACGGGCTTAGTTGCTCTGCAGCATGTGGGATCTTCCTGGACCAGGGCTCGAACCCATGTCCCCTGCATTAGCAGGTGCATTTCTAACCACTGTGCCACGAGGGAAGTCCCCAGGTAGGCTTTAAAAGTAACAACTTATTGATCTGTGTACATGTGCTTTAAAGAAATTCTTTAAAGCAACAACTTCTGTTAGTTCCTAAAAATATTGGAGCATATAATTTAGTCCATTCCTATGCCTAATTATTGAAGCTTTAATAGACTGTCATGGCACAGACGCTAATGTGATGGTTTCTGCTTGCATTGTAACAGAAAGTATCAATAATCCCAGCAGAGTGGGCACTGGACTTTCACATCTTAACTAGAAGGTCAAGAATAACCAAGATTTTTAGGAATTAGTTCCACATGTTTGTATAAAATTTATTATTCAAGATAAAATGTAATTCCCCTTTTAGGTTAATTCCTTTTGATTTTAGAAAATTGTATACTTCTAATTCATTAGAAGAGATATATATACAACATAGGTAGATTCTTAATTGATGTAATTTTTCATCATGCAACACTCAGATCTCAGATCCTCAGGGGTTGGGGGAGAGTGAGAAGGGATTATAATGTCTTGACCAAAACAAAAAAGTGTCTAACATTGTGTTTTCCTGATAGGTCTTTCTGAGTGGTATTTTAGAGGTACAGTGCCAAAGAATTATAATGGAGAAAGGCCAACTATGCTATGAGTTAGAGCAGCACTTCTCAGACTTAAACGTGGTAGGAAACACTTGAAGATCTTATTAAAAGGTAGACTCTGATGCAGTCAGTCTGGGGCAGGGGCCTGCGACTCTGTATTTCACACAATACAGGTATTGGGACACTACCTGTCCATCGACTACCTTTTGAGTAGCAAGGGGTTAGATGACTCTTCCAGGATACCTTCTCGTAAACTCTCATTTCAGTGACTCAAAAAATCAAGTGGCCTGGTATAAACAATAATAAGGGTGATTTTGTTGAAAGTGCTGATTTGCTCATTTGAATCATCCAAAAGAGAGACATCAAGAGGTCAGAATTGTTCATAGACCCATCATTACTGGAAAGCTCATGGGGAAATGAAGTCATTTAAGGCAAAAGGAAAATAGTAACATAAATACCTCAGATGACTACCAGGGCAAAATTTTCAAAATGTTGCAAGCTGTCTGCATGCTTGAAGTAGCAATTTACATGCATAATTAGGTGCAATCAACAGTTTTGAAATGTAATATATTTTCTGAGCCCATATTTACTTATGACAGATGCAAAAAGAAACTGTGTCCCCCCCAAAAATAGAAGGGCAGAGAAAGGAAAAATACTTGCCTTTGACAATGGGAATCTTTACAAGCTCTTGCCTAAATTTAGAACAAATTTAGTTGAAGTATTGGATCTTTGTTTTGATTTACTCTTCACTGAAGTTCACAAACACATTTTGGAAGTAACAAGCATGTAAGAATAGTAACTTTCCAGTCAGCTCTTCCAGCTCCTGTTGGAACTGACATGTACTTTTTATTTCTACACTGTAAAAGGAAAATCTGTCAAATTCAAAACTTTATTGCACAGAACACCATTGACTTTCTTCCTGCCTTCAGAAGGGGTTTCATTTTTTGAAGATGCCAAATATCTTTTAGAATAATTTATAGAAAGAGATTAATTAAACTAGCAATTTCTTCTCAGATGAGTGCTCATGGTGAATTTCTATCATCTTAACTATTTTCAGTAGAACAGGCACTGAGTGCTCCCTATGCCCTAAGGCACTCTCCTAAGCTCTTTACACAGATCATCGAATTTACCATTATAAAAATACTATAAGGATTGATTCATTACAATGTACCGGGGAGGAAAGGGAGAGCAAGTAACTGTTTTTAAACAAATATTATTTTTCTCTTTTTCTTATTTACTTATTTTTGGCTGCGTTGGGTCTTCTTTGCTGCGCGGGGGCTTTCTCTAGTTGCGGGGAGTGGGGGCTACTCTTTGTTGCGGTGCACGGGCTTCTCTTTGCGGTGGCTCCTCTTGTTGCGGAGCATGGGGTCTAGGCACGTGGGCTTCAGTAGTTGTGGCATGCGGGCTCAGTAGTTATGACACAGGGGTTAGTTGCTCCACAGCATGTGGGATCTTCCTGGACCAGGGATCCAATGGTGTCTCCTGTATTGGCAGGCAGATTCTTTTTTTTTTTTTTTTTTTAACATCTTTATTGGAGTATAATTGCTTTAGAATGGTGTGTTAGTTTCTGCTTTATAACAAAGTGAATCAGTTATACATATACACATGTTCCCATATCTCTTCCCTCTTGCGTCTCCCTCCCTCCCACCCCCCCATCCTACCCCTCTAGGTGGTCACAAACCACCTAGCTGATCTCCCTGTGCTATGCGGCTACTTCCCACTAGCTATCTATTTTACGTTTGGTAGTGTATATATGTCCATGCCACTCTCTCACTTTGTCACAGCTTACCCTTCCCCCTGGCCATGTCCTCAAGTCCATTCTCTAGTAGGTCTGTGTCTTTATTCCCGTCTTACCCCTAGGTACTTCATGACCTTTTTTTTTTTTCCCTTAGATTCCATATATATGTGTTAGCATACGGTATTTGTTTTTCTCTTTCTGACTTACTTCACTCTGCAGATTCTTAACCACTGCACCACCAGGGAAGTCCGCAAGTAACTTCTTTAAAGGTACAAAGCTCTGTATTTTCTTGGCTGGCACATTACTACATGAAAGGTCATAATGTCACTTTAAAAGTATAGTGAATGTCAGACTAAAGCAAGCTCATGTTATTTTGAACAAGTTCCCAATTTAGAAAATGAGCTTGAAATCTAATTTTTCATAATTTTGAAGAAAAAAAATGAGTAATTCCATCCCCAAACTTTTCTTTCCAAAAGCATGTTCACATTGCATTATCTAGATTGACTGTCTGCACTGATGAAATTAAAGTGGCAATTAATTCCTATCACAGAGTCAGAGATTAAAGCTATTGTATTGAAGGATAGGACTCATGCTGTGTTCTTGTGTAACTGCATCTATTGGGACAGTGTGTTTTGAAATAGTCCAAGTTGTCTTTAAGTTAATGCAAAGCAGTCAGGAGATAAACAACTTAACTTTCTAGTTTCAGGAGGCAATTGTTGCTGGAGGAAGAAAGCTAAGTAAGCTCTGCTAAGAAATGCACGGAGAGTTCATTTATCTGCTGATCCATTTGGGGGCATTATGGAACTCAAAGCCCAGAACAATGGGCTCTATTTAACATTAAACAGCTTCTTAATAATCTGTTATTTCTTTCCATGGCTGCCGGAAAGTCCCTCGGGAGTGCAGAGTCGCTGTAGCAGTCCCCGTGAAGTTGTAAGCTACTCCCCAGGACCAAGTAGTGTTAAATATAGAAGTCACCCTAATCACCTGACTGTCGGAGAGCCCCGTGTAAGAATTCCCAAGTCTACCCTTGTCATCTCCATCTGTCTCTCTAGATTTACCAAACGCAGCTCACCGCACCGCCTGGGGTCCCCGCCGGCACCTCCCGGAGCTCTGCCCGGCGGAGTACGCCCTTCCAGCGCACAGGGCTGGCGGGGAGCTGGCGCCAACCGGGGCACCTGGCGGCCGATGCCTGGCCGCGACCCCTCGCTCTCCCTCCGCCTCCCCCTCTGCCCCTCGGCTGCCGACCTTTACGAGGAACTCTGCTGCGCTGCGAGACTCGCGTCCTCGCCCTGGGCGCGGGGCCCCACCCCTTGCGGGTGCCGCCCGCGACCGGGACGGAGGCGAGGGTAGGTGAACTGCTGGCCCGGCCTTGGCTACCGCTTGCTCGGTCCTAGTCCTCAGGCGCTGGCTGGGCGGCGCGGGGCCGCGGGAGCGTGGGGATGCACTCGCGCGCGCGGAAGGGGTGACCCCGGGGACACGTGCGGCCGCGGGAGGGAGCGCGGGAGGGGCCTGGGGCCGGCGTGCGGGTGGGGGTCGCCCGGGGTTGGAGTGGGCGCCCCGGACGCCAGCCCTCTGCCGGCTCCCCTCCTTCTAGGGCTCCGCCGCCGCCTGGCACAAATCGGAAAGCCTTGCCTTCCTCTGATGGAGCGGGCAGGGTGAGGGGTCGGTGCCTGGTCAGCTGGCGGGGATGGTAGATTTCACTTACACCTGACCCGCCCCACTCCTGTCAGTTTCGCCGGCAGGTCCCAGCGATGCGATTGTTCTTCCAGTAACTTTGTTCAGAGGCGGAGGGGAGGGGAGACGCCGAGAGGACCCCGGAGAGGCTGGAAAGCGACGAGGATCGGGAGGCCCAGCTGAGGCGGGAGTCCTCGGGCGGCCCCGGGGCTGGGCGCGTGGCTGGGAGGCGTCGCTGCCGCCGCCTCCGGGATGCGCTCGGCTTAGCGGGACTGCCGGGGGCTCCTGAAGGCCATTGCTCCGAGGACGCGCGGCCACCCGCTGCTCGCGCTCCCCGGGCCGGCGCCGCCGGTGCCGGAGCCGAGCGGCGAGCGGAGCTGCGGGGCGCGCGGGCGAAGGCTAGCGGGAGGGAGGGCGCGCGGGAGGCGTCTCCTCCTCGGCGAGCCATGCGTGCCACCGGCAGCTGAGCCGCCGCCGGCGCCGCTGTCAAATCTGCGCTCCGCTTTTGTCTTGTCCTCCAGTGAATGGGAAGATGGAGATGGATGTAGAGGGAGTTTCTCCGTGCCCAGAGCCCATCCCCCGCTCCCAGGGGGCTGGCGGAGCCTGCCAGGCGCCGCCACAGCCGCCGTCGCCGCCGCAGCATCCGGCTCCGGATGATCCGCCCGGCAAGAGTGCCGGCGCCGAGGACAGCGACGATCCCGAAGCGAGAGCCAGCGGCGAGAAGGACGAGAGCAAGGTAGGTCCGCCGCGTTGGCGCTGTGACACCTTTTGAACAAAACCACGGAGCTCTGGCAGCGGCTGTCACTTTAACCCCTGCGCTCCCCCACCCCCTTCCCTCGTCCGGGAGGTGGTGAGGGTTGCAGATGTAGGGAAGGCGTAAGATGGAAGGGAATCGCTGGGCGACAGTGACTTTCTGAACGGGAAGGCGCGTGCAGAAGTCCCTCCTGGTTTCCGTATTCAGTGTTCGTGCAGAGAAAAGTCTTCTGGTCCAGGCAACGTGATGTTGGGTGGAGCGCAGCACCCCGGGAGAGCGAGATTGAGAGACTTTGCTCGCCCGCACCGTATAGCCACAGCTTATGTGGATGATCTAGGTCAAGGGGAAACATGTGTTCAGGAGCTGCCAAGTGGCTTCTGAGACTCCTTGAAGGGAGGTGGCATCAACCTAAAGATGACAACAGTGGGAGCAAAGTTTGGCTCTTTTGCAGAATGGAGAGCTCTGCCTAACCCAGCTCTAAGCTGGAACACCTGCTCCTGCCCTGGCATCCTCCTGCCCGGGAGGGCAGGGGCCAGGTGCCTGGCACCAGGTGAGCTCTGGAAACCTTTTGAAGCCCTGCTGTGTCATTGTAGCCCCGGGATAGCGGCTACTGACTGTGGAGAGAGGAGCTCCTCAGGTAATTGGGTTCCAGTAAGAAATAGCTCAAATGCCATTCTCTGGTGCTGATGTTTTTTCCTGTTGAGAAAATTGTAAAGTAGAGGAAGTGGCATAGAAAATAATGCCTTGGTCTGATATTCTTGGAGTGTATTTATTGCAGCTTGGTTTCTGAGCAGGGTTTTCTTTCTCCATATACACTTGGAGTTGAGTTTTGTGGATGCTAGTGCCGGCCAGTTGTATCTCTGTGAAGTGTATACATGTGTTTGTTAATGCATTTTGGAAGTGGCTGCAAGTGTTGGGGAAAAGCTGGTTCAACAAATCAGAACCAACCAAAGAGGAGTCAGCTGAGGTACTTTCTCACTGTGGCTCACTGGAGGAAGCGTGCAAGGAAACAGCCACCGTGCCTGGTTAGGAAAGCGAGTCATGACATGCTCCTCCTGGGAGGTTGCCTGGGTTTCTGCTGGACGTTCCTAGAGGTGCTAGTAGACTAAACAGTATCCCAAACATGTTGGGATCACACTGAGTGTTGCCTCTCTGTACTTGCAGACAGGCTTACCTTAACAAGATGGTATTTGCAAATCCTCAAAATTGTTTTGCATTTGGATACTGAGCTAAGGATTTAGATTGTGGTTTATCTACCAAGATCAATATTATAACTTATATGGCATTCTACCAAGGAACTGTCATTTGAACACTCTCTAGACTGGGCTGGGGTGATGCATACAAGATTTACATTGCCAAACTATGAGGAATCTTAATATTCTAACATCCTCAGCTTTTCAGTCGCATTTGATTTCATGAATATTTAATTCTGTCATGACTGCATATTTACTACTTTAAATGACTGCGCCCAGTTTAATGAAATAACCGTAACTGAGCATCGTATTACCTAATTGAACTTTAAGTCTCATTTGCAAAATAGGTGTGGGCAATCATTAAAATATACAGCAAGTGCTGCCATTTCCACGTTGTTGGTTCATATGCTCTGAGCATGAGAAATTCCTGCCATCAGCAAAAAATCTGTGCTTATTTGTTTCCCTTTGATACACCACGCAGACTCTCTGATGTTCTGTGGGTTGTGAGGAGTGAGGAAGCCAGTGCATGACAAATACTAGAGCAGGTGAAGAAAGGATGGACGGAAAGTGGGTTGATTATATTTCGTTAATTAGCATGTGCAGATAATTGAGTATTCCACCGATGTGATTGGCTTTCTGTATGTCTGCAGTTTCTTGCGGTGGAAACAAAATACTACTTTTTTGCCTCCAGGTGTTTGCCTTAAAAAATTATGTTGCATCCTTCTCTCCACCCAGAAATCAGCTGTGTTAACCCTTTGCTCGTCTCTGCTACTCTCCTACCGGTTCTTCTAAGAGTCTGAGGATGGTGGCTGTGTCTCAGACTTTAATAACTCTTTTTGTCTTTGATGGATACTAAGGCAAGTTATACATTGATTTTTCTTAGCAAATCCTTGTTTCATTAGTGGGAAGGCCTTTGGGTATCTGATCAAATTATTCTACTAAGATATAAATGGAAGACAAACTGGGTTAAAGTGGAATGTGGTTTCACCAAGCTGTTTGGGGTGAAGTTAGGGAGATGATCACGATAGGATATAAACACAGTAATGTACAAATGTAATATTTTGGACTGTTATATTTGTTTCTTACTCACAAGTGTAATAAAAAATGAATTTTCAGTACTATATTATTTATCTTAAATCTCCTCTTCCCGCAAAAGTGTCAGGGCATTTTTTTCCAGATTCTGGTTTGGGGTCATGATTTTATTTTCTCTTGAGTTTACCCCAGTTATCTTCTTGGAAAAGAAATTGGAGCTTAGTGCCAGATCAGCTTGTCTCCTAAATTGCAGGTTCATGTTCATATGTCCTCAGAAAGTCTCTGAAATAGGAAGGAAGGTTAGAAAACTGGATCAGTCAAGGGATTTTTTATGCCACAGTTTCATGACGTGACTGGTGCTTTCTGTTCCTAGAATTGCAATGCCTGATTCCTCTCTAGCAACTGCTCTTCAGAGAGATGCTATAGCAGCTACATGCTGTGTATGCTTTGATTCCATGAATTGGAGAAGACCCTAAATCAACCAGTCCCCTGGGCTTTAAGGCAGGCTTACCTTAAACCCTGTGAAAGGCAGTCTCCTCTCCTTGCAATGACAGGCAAAGACAATGTGATGACCCCCTGTGGGGACCTAGTGAGATGTTTCCTCACGCATGAGCTCAAGAACTTCTTCCTCATATCTGAAAAGAGGTTCTCCCACCTGGACAAACTCCTTTCTTCCAGTCTTGCAGATGAAGATTAAATAGTCACTCACCTTGAATAAGAGACCTCCTAATCCTTGAAAGTGTTCTCAACCATGGATTGGACCATCCTCAAAACTTTCTTGCAGCGTTTCCTTAGGCCATCACATTCCATCCTTTTAGTGATGTTTAAAACCATTCTGAAATGTTTTGCTTGTGCTCAGTAAATCTAAGATGGGTATTTCTGAAACTTTGTTTGGAAAAGTTTGTTTTAAAGTTCCTTGTGTTGAGGACTAACACCCCAGTTTCTTACTCCATCTGTTATCAAGTTGCTTTCACAAATGTGTGGGTTCTTCCCCGACCCCAGGTGAGTGATGTATAAATGATTCTTTCTTGTCTGCTTCAGCTTCATGTATTCGCCCTTTTCCTGCCTCCCTGCCCCCATTTTCTCTCTCTTTCTCTCTTTCACACACACACACACCACTTACTGTGATGTTTTTTATAGAAGTGTGTATTAATGGCACAGCTATGAGGTGTCATGACCAAACTCTCTTTTGTGTTCAGCTCTCATTAAAGCCTTGGTCTGCAAGATATGTTATTCTTGTGATTTGGACTAGAGAGAGCCTGTGCTGTTGTTCTCAGTGATATTTCACTGATGGACATGACCCAAGATGCTCACCTGCCTGCATCCCATCAGTGACACTGTCCTAAACCATCAGTCTCACAGAGGATGCTGTCGGGAGTCTCTCATCCAGTTCATTTTTGAAAGCCTTTTATTTTGAAATAACTTCAGATTTATAGAAAAGTTGCAAAGACAAGAGTTCCCATATACCCTTTACCCAACTTCCCCTAATATTCACATCCTACTTAATCATGGTCTGTATATTACAATGAAGAAATTAACATGGGTACAATACCATTAGCTAACCTCTGTCCAGTTTTTGTTGAGTGAATGTGTAACATATCAATGTTTTTCATTCTGTCCTCCCAGGACTTAAGACTTTGTTTTTTTTTACACCTGAAAGACTCTGTGAGAGGGTATTTAAGAGCCAAATTTAACTTCAGGTTAACTGTGCGCCCTGTTCCTGGCGGGTGGGCAGCTCCCGAAGTCAGAGGCTGAGGTCCTGGGGTCCTGTGCCGCGCTGCCCTGAGCCCTGTGGGAGTTACACCTTTGGCAAAACTCTTGAGTGCTGTGGGGAATGATAGTCTTCTTTTTTATTTTATCCTGAAAAACATTTCCCGCTCCAAGTAAGACAGGGTTTGTCAGTACACAGAGGACAGCAGAGTCTCAAGTGGCGAGTAGAGGAGAAAAGGCGATGGATAAAATCAAGACAGTTCACTTTGATGCCTAAACCCTTGGGTGTTTGTTCCTGGCATGAAAAGTAGCGGAAACCCTTTCCTTTCTGCATTGTACTCACCCGGGGAACTCTGATTTCGAGCACAGAAGCAGAAACTTGCCCATGTTAGGCAGGATGCCATTGTGATCAGTGTTGGCTTTTTGATGAAGAGTGAAATCATAAATCATTTGGTCTTGGCTCCACCTTTCACTAGCTACTAACCTCAGAGAAGATCCTACCCTTTTTAAATCTCAGTCTCTTCATCTGTAAAATAGGATAATTATAGGGCCCACCACCTGTTATTTTATGGCTTGAATGAGGTAAAATATATAAAGTTCTTGATTCAATGCTTCATAGCTATTGACCACTCAGTAATTGTTAGTAATAACTGTGATGATTATTATTGCTCTTGTGGTCCAGGGTTCTGAAGAGGAGAATGAGTTGGGGCCAAGTTCACCTAGAATTTTCAGTTTCCCAGAGAATTGTGGGGCTGGAAATGATGCAGACACACTGTTCTACAATCAAAC